CGGATGGTCTGTGCTTCCAGGGCTTGCTGTGGGCTGGTGGGGACAGTGCAAGTCACAGACACGGGATCGGGACAGCCATTTAGAAAGGGACAGGCAGCAATCTCTGCCCTGGCTTTTGCACCCAATTCTTTCAAATTCCTCGGATCTTCAGGAAATCTGGCTGTCGTGTGCATGACCAAAGCACAGACTGTGCTGTTGTCTAAGAAAGAAGTAGTTGCCTCGGGATTTTTATGCTGCTTTCCACAGAACCTGTGGCTGCTCATAACTATCAGAGTGAAGTGAGGTTGTATTTATTCACCGTTGCTAGAGCAAGCTAAGAAATGGTTCTGATGTTTTGAGTCTTGTGTTTAATATCACAAAGTAACAAATTCTGTGGTTCTTATGGTGTATATCAAACACTTAGGATTGCCTTCTTTTTGAAGAGAGCTATAGCAAATATGGTTTTGTCAAAAGAGTTTTGGAGGCCTTTAATTTCTGTAGTTGAAGGACTCAGCATATTGAGTCTGAAAGAGTCCAGATTGCCTTTAAAAATGTGAATTGAAGAAGCATCTAGGAATACCTTGAAGAAAAATATTTTTCTCTTATGTTCAACTTGCTGAACTTTTTCAGGCATTGAACTCAGTTTCAATTACTGATCTAAAGGGTCTAATCCAAAGTCAAAACATCATTGCTTGTGGTGCCTTTCATTCTTAAACCTGTGTGGGTTTTTTTTTCTGTTTATGTGAAACTAAACAAGGTCTGTGTCTTTCTAACATTGAGTTGAAGCAGAGAGCTGAAAGGGAACATCATGTTTAACTTTCGGGACTGTATTTCTTGTCTTCAGTCTTTCTCCTGTAATCTGTTACCTCGCATAAATGTGACAGCTGTTCTACAAAAGCAAGCTGTTTTGTCCAAATACTAATCACTCTTCCCTTTGCAGCTATAATTAAATTATCTTGGGACAATAGGTATATAATGTCCGTTTAAATAACTGTATTAATAATTAAGTTTTGCTCTTCTTGCAAAATACTGGGTTAATATTTCAAACATATTAATGTGTCCCTTATCAGATCTGTGTTTTCGGTGACTACCAAAAGTCTGATCATTCTGATGTGTAGATACGTGCTTTGGATGGCAGCTTGTTCCCATTGTTACTTTCTTTATTTTTTGGATTGCATGTGTTCTGCTATGTGTCTTGTCCCTGGCTTATCTCTGCCTTTGCATTGTTTGTGTAAGAAACTTTCTTGTAGTAAGTCCTTCAGTAGTTCTTGAGTATTTTCTCCTGCTGCTATCATAAGCTTAAGATTAAAAAAATAAAATAAAAAATCCAAACCAAAACCCTTTAAATCTTGCTGTGGTTGTCTCTTGTGCTAAGCCTGCTGTACAGATCACTTATGCAAGGCTTCTTTTGAAGCACAGTGACTGCTTCCTATAAACAATCTTTAATTTATGTGGCTTTCATTATCTGCTCTATTTGTATTACTGGTATCCTACTGCTAGAAGAGTGGTTAACTGCTGCCCTGCACACAGTTTACAACTGTGATAAGTGTTTTGCATGCTCATTTTAATAGCTGGATCAAGATACTGTAAATTCTTTATATTGGCTCTCCTTCTGTGTTTGTGCTATTGACCTACTCTGTCAGTCACCTGATAGCTGATGACATAAGTGACTGTGCAGTGTTCATGTTTGGATTGCTCATTAGCCTGATGCATATAGCGTGGTAACTGATGGCCATTGACAGATCAATAGATGTTGTTGTGAATATTTAGAATCTATAATTTTCAGGCTCGCTTTCTAACATAGCGGGAAGGTCTGTCCTTTTCTGTTTATGCACGTAATTTCTCTTAAAGGCACTCTTGAGGATTAAGAATGCAATTGGGTATTCTCTGTCTAAAATACAGCTTTTATTATCTGACTGATTTTGGTAGCATCCATTAAACATCTATTCTGGTAGAGTGAGGAAGTGTCTAATTAGCTTTGATCAGGACACTAGTCAAATAGGCCTTTGCCTAAAGGCATAATTCTGCTGAGCTTGAAAGAGGAGGAGATACATATCCCTGAATGGGGTGACAGCATCTTACTTGGTATTTGACTTAAAGCCAGGTACAATACAGCAAGATTTTTTTTCTGAAAGCTGAAGTGCAAGTATCTATTGTATGTTTATTGTTGGACATGACAAGGCATCTTGGAAAACACTTGCTACTTGCTATATTGGAACTGACCACTGGAACTTCAAAGAAAATTAACTTTTTCTAATCCTGTGCCTTACTGCTGTATATTTTTGCATGGATGTCTTAAAGAGTATACCTGGTATATTGCAGAAAGTGCTTGTGTTTCATGGAGAACTGTTTGAATCTCCCCCTTAATTAGAAATGTGATGGAGTAGATGCCACTAGTGGAACAGAACTGCTTGTTGCTGTGTTGAATGGGAGTTGAATTGAGCAGCTTCATAGCAAAAAGGGGCCTGTAGTGTAGCCAGGCATTTGCTCTAAATAACACTTCACTTTGTCTCTAGAATTGTTGAATAACAAGTTTATTCTGGCCTTGTTGTAAGCTGCTAATTGTTCTGCTCTTTTCACCTACAGGTTGTGACTGTTTCTCTTCTGTCATTGGTGTGGAAAGTGCCACACACACTCCAGAACAACAACGGCTTTTGCTTGCATATTCCAGTGTTTCTTTTGTCAGCGAGTTCAGCAAAGTTGTAATTCTTCAAGTGCCAGCCCTGAGCTGAGTGAGGAGCCACCAGCAGAGATGGTAAAAATGACAAAATCAAAAACGTTCCAGGCTTACCTGCCAAACTGTCATCGAACCTACAGCTGTATCCACTGCAGAGCCCATCTAGCCAATCACGATGAATTGATCTCCAAGGCAAGTGGCTTGTTTAGAGACCTCATGAATTATTTCTTAACCAAAATGGTTATCACTGTATCACTGCTTCCAGTAGATAAAGTATGCAAATTGATGCATCCTTCAGAGTATCTTCCCTGAGTTCATTCTTGGGTCATACATATTGTGTACTGAGGACTGTATATATTCTGGAAACTTTTGAATGTGACATAAAGGCTGATCTAACATATTCCCCGCATTAACAACCTCTGTCTACTCTCGAGTAGGTACTATTTGTGAGCTGTCATATCTGAAAGGTCTGGTAAGGAAAACTGTCAGAGGAAAACAGGGTTCTCTGGGTAGGGAAATGATTCTGGGCATGTTTATTACAGATAAAGATTACTATTGACTCTATTTGACTGAACGTCACAAACCTGGCTGTTTCCAGAGTGTTCTACTGCTGTTATGGAGTCTGTAAACCTTTTACCAAAATTACTTTTGCTGTATACCAGTTCCTGAGGAATATGATTAGCCAGGGATGTTCAAAATAGTTGTCTAAATAGTCTGCCAAAATAGATTAGACAAAATAGACTGTCTAAACTTAAGCTTAGAGGATGTGTGGATCCTTGAAACAGGCTAGTCCTGTCCTTCTTACCTCTTGCTGGAAGAAACAAAGACTTGTGATGTATGAAATACATAGGAAAACTTGAAGTTTGGGATGAATACTTGACAGACTGATTCATTCTTTGCTCTAAATAAGCTTCTGATGGATTTTCTCTTAATGGCATCCTGGACAAAACACTTCAGTTGCTTTTCAAACCTCTTAATACAAATTGCTTTCTACATAACTTTTTTTGTGAAATAAAATTTTTAGTGGCAAACCCTTTATAACTAACTTTATCTGTTACTCCTGCCTGTTTGTGTGTTCAGCTGCACTAAGGTGATGCTGCTCTTGAGTGCTGAGAGATGAGGGGGTGAGAATGCTGCTACTTCTGAATTGAGGTTTTCTTTGGGTGAGGAGAAAGTATACCTGCTTGCTTATCCCTTAGAGGGTTATCAGGAAATAATAGGTTTTCCCCGTACAGCGTTTCTTGTGTTACTAATCTTAGTTTAGATCTCAAGACAACATTGTGATTCTAATAGTAAAATTGGTGACAGTTCTTGGCAGCATTGCTTATCGCTTGCTTACTTCTCCTCTACCTTTAGTCTCTTCTCCTAAACAATTCTTTCCCTCAACTTAGTACATGTATTGAGGCATGGAACTGCAAATGTGAAACAGTGAGCTAGCTACATATAAAATGATGTGAAGAAATTAAGAGGGAGGACTTGTTTTACTTGTATTAACCTGAAAAAAGTTCCTCACTTTCTTTATAGTGATCTTATTTTGTTTCAAGGTCAGCAAAACCAAGAGAAATATTCAATTAGTAATGTGAATGCATTTGAATTTCATTTGTTTCCATGTTGATTTCCGAATTTCAGTATAAGGGGTCTTTTTGGCAACACTGGATTCTAAATGACAAGCAATAATAGCTTCATTACTCACTATATGTTTTGGGCAAAAATACAGTGGGAGGGGTTCATCTTTCCTGAACTTCAGGTTGTACATGCCTACAGGAAGAATGAAACTTTGCTAGCTGAGTCTTTTGAGATGTGTAGATTCATTGAAAGTGCAATCCAAGCACATGTACTTAATAGGAAGCTCTTCTTTTAGTGGACTTACACTTTTGCATGTGGACTCAACTGCCACAGTTACCACATGAGCCAGTTGTTCTCCAAGGTCTTGGGAGTTTTGGTCAGCAAAATATTTTGAATATGTTGTTAAGCAAATCATCTGTTCGTATTACAGCTTAATAAATAATTTCAAACATTAAAAAAAATCAAATTTTCAATTCAGAGAACATGGAGAACTCTTAAAAAAAATACAAATATCTATCTAGTAAATAAAAATACTTCCAAGTTCTTTCCTATGGTGTTGGGAAGGGTGTTAGATATGGTTTCTGTTTTATTTCTGGCTTCCATAATTTTCAGTGAAGACATCTTACAAAAGTTTCTGTACTTGCAGGTTGACCATATGCTTATTTGACAGCTGATCCATATTCTGTCAACTTAAGATTTCTTGACCATATTTTATTGTCTCAAACTGTGTGATAATAAGAAATACATTTAAATGTGTGTGTTTTGTTTGTGAAATAAAAAGAACATTTCTCATCTATTGTACTTGTATTTGGAACATAGCTTTAAAAAAACTGGCCTCCTTTAAGCTTAACTTTTATGTGTTCTAACACTGGAGAAGTTCTTCTGATGGAAACAACTGCAAAGCAATAGTTTAATACACTTGGAATCATTAAAAATTAGTAGTGCTGTTGTAGGTGGTGGTGGTAGGGGGAATGGTGGGAAGAAATTCTATTTAATTTGGTTTAAATGAAAACACAGGTTAACCTGGAAAGTAAAAACTGAGCAAGTATCCTAACATAACTTAGACCAGGGGAAGGACTAACAGATGAGTGTACCTCAGAACAGTTTCTCTATATGAGTAATTTTTCTGAAGTTTTTTCAAACTGCTTTCATTAATGCATGTTATGTGCAGTGAACTTAAATTGATGAGAGAGATATTTTAATTTATACAAACTATCTAGAACACTAATTACTATAACTATGCAGCTGCAGCAAAAATACTTAAAATAACCTGAAGTGTAGCAAGTTGATTGTATACAATCTAAAGTTAACTAAGAACAGCACAGTTCCTGTGCTGTTTTGGATTTACTGATGGAGCAGAGAATTGGACTGCTCAATGTGTTCTCTGCGCCCCCCCCCCCAGCTTTACTTTGAGGGCCCAGTTAAAAGCTAAGCTCTGGGTAACACTTAGTAAATACAATTTTTGGTTACAGGTTGTCTCACTGGCATTTTTTTTTTCCGAATGCTTACTATACAGCAATGTGTTCTCTCCCTAGTGCCATAACCCTAGTGCCATAAATACCCTTCAGCAGATAAAGGCAAACAGTACTTGGTACCTAGCTGTAACTGCTTCATTTGGGTGCTTCCCCCCGACCCCTGTTTCCTGCATGCATGGTGATTGTTGCTTTCTTCTGTACGGTAAGGGAAAAAGAGCCAAAATACATGGTGCACTCTAATTTAAAGCAGCTACAACTAGCTTTCTAATGTGCTTTGAGGTATAAACACTTGTTATACTTGACACTAATATTTCTAACTTCAAGATGAAAAGATAAGCTATGCTATGCAATGAGTGGTGTTTCTCTCAAATGTTGGTCTGTCACGGAAAAGCACAGACCACAGCATATTTCTGTCAGTCATCCTTTTGATTCTGGTCCTCAGAATACCAGACATCAATACAGATTTGAAGTTGTTCTGCTTTTGAGAACTGTTGATGCCAATTGTCTGACAAGGATGGCAGCATACACGAGTCACCTTTTCATTTTATTTCTGTTCTGTTCGAGCAGCAGGATCTCTTTCTTGCCTTAGAATTAATCATCAAGCTTTTTTTTTTTCTTGTGCCCTTGCTGGTGATAAAATGGCAACCAAGAGTCTTTGCAATGCCTTAGAAACAAGAATGCAGACTAATAAGACAGTATAAAAATGTGCTACCTGCACAAGGGAATTCATTGTTATCTGTAGGTTTGGTTTTCTCTGCAACTATGAAAGGACTCAACATGTTGCTTCATGTTGAAATCCACTTGGATGTTAGTGATTAGAACATACATTTCTAGATATTTTTAGTCTATAACCTTGTGTTTTCTGGGTCTAGGGAGGAACTTGAAGAAAGGGGAGGAATGGGAAGAAGACTGGTCAAGAACATGTGTCCCAAACTAGGAGGTGATCAGAAGTGGAGATACTGACAAACATTAGTCTGTACAGCTGAACACATGCACACATGTATGAATGGCTGCCATAATTTATAACCCCAATCATCTTGGGGAAAACGCTAATTTGAAGGATAGATAATAAAAGAATAAACAAACTGTAGATGAGTTTTAATTGAAATAAGTGTAATTACAAAGTGGTGTTAGGTACCTCTTAGATGCTACTGATTTGCATTGTTAATGAGTCTGCAAGTGCTGGATTTTCTGTTTCTTTGGTGAAGACTTCAAAGTGAATGTTGAACACTTAAAATACTATGGAAAGGAGTATACCAGTCTTCACTCCATTGGGCGACATTCAGAGAACAGGGGAAGAACCTGCAGCTTTTTTATTTCTTGAAAGAGCAAATGGTTAAAAGACTGTAGATGTAGTGCTGAGGGACGTGGTTTAATGGTAACTTGGCAGTACCAGGTTAACAGCTGATAATCTTAAAGGTCTCTTCCACCCAAAACAATTCTGATATTTTTAGAATCATACGCTACTATGACTACAGGTGTGGAAGAGAGGTAGCCTTGAGTAGCAACCACAGGCCTTAATATAAGAGCAAGGCAAAAAATGGATGCCATAGGAGGCACTCTTTGGACTTAAAATGTTCAAATAGCACAAAAAAACCCCCCACTAAACAGTATATGTTAATAATCTTAAAAATCCCAACAATTAAAAAAATTGACATAATTAAGTTTTTGAGGGAGAACTTCTATAAGACTCTGAAATCCAGGGGAGGTTGCCACTTGTGTGGCCTGTACAAAATGTTATGTCTATGCTGCTCTTGAAGGGATTCTAAAATGAGTTTTGTGAAGGCTTAATTGAAAGAACTTTCTTCTGATTTGTTTGTAAATGGTAGAGAATGTGCAGTGATTATTAGCAGTAGTGAATTTTATAGGAGGCAAATGTTGCTTGAAGAGCTTAAGTTCCAAAGCACTAGAGAATGGCTTGTACCCACTAAGTTCCAGTAATTTTTTAGAAATTCAGTCAAGGTCCAACAAATTGCAAAGAATTACAAACACCTAACAGAAATTTAGGAACCTAGTGGATATATTGCCAAGCGTAATGCTTTGTTACTCAAGGTTGACCTGCTTGAAAGACTGTTGAATCGTTTTACAAGGTACCTTAATGCTGGGGATGGAATAAAACCTGGATTACTTTGTGTAGATGCCTGTATAAAT